CGTCCCATATGTGACGCTATGTTTTTCTGGCACTCGTAATGTTTTTACTATGGGTTTTTGCTCATTCTAACCCAAACGGACCTGGTTCCTTTTTTAGCTCTTTTCTGGGATCTACAGTTTTTACTGATTTGATTTTATCATCGCCCCATTAGTCCAAGCTACGCCCCATTAGTCCAAGCGCGTGAGGGGTTCTGAACTAATTCTCAACTTTCCCATTAGTCCAAGATTCTCCCCATTAGTCCAAGGTACGCCCCATTAGTCCAAGGGCTTGAGGAGTTCTGAACTAATGTTCAACTTTCCAATTAGTCCAAGATTCTCCCCACTAGTCCAAGCTACACCCAATTGGTCCAAGGGTTTGAGGAGTTCTGAACTAATTTTCAATTTTCCGGGCATTAGTCCAAGCTACCCCCCATTAGTCCAAGCTACGCCCCATTAGTCCAAGCTACGCCCCATTGGTCCTAGGGTTTGAGGAGTGCTGATAAAATTTATTATCGCCCTATTAGTCCAAGCTATGCCCCATTATGTAGTCCAAGAACTTGAGGAGTTCTCATTCAGTGTTTTTCATTCTTTTGCATATGGAGTATTTTTCCCATAAGTTAAGAAGAAACGAATGCATCATCAGCATTTGGAAAGTCTCTGAATGCTTCTGTCTCCACAAAACAACGTCGCAGATTATAACACAAAAAACACTGAAAAAAGGAGCCGTCCGCCCCGGACTTCACCGAATCCTAAAATGCGTGGCAAGCGTGGGACTTTAGACATGCAAAGTACACAAAAATGCGGCTTCACAAACGGGACGCGGACCTAGTAATACTGCTACGACTACTACTACTACTACTACTACCACTACTACCACTACTACTACTACTACTACTACTACTACGTCGACGACTACGACTACGACTACTGCTGCTGCTGCTGCTACTACTAGGTTGTGTTTGCCTATAGTGTCTGGCACACATAATGGCGTGTGCATATCTCGGTTGCCCAGCTTTATCTGAGTCAGGTGTCCTGTCCTTTCAGGGTGGGTTGTGGGGGGTAGTGTATATATATATATGCATAGGCATCAGGGTTTCCTGGCTAGTAGGGAATAAGGGAATATACTCTATAGGGGTCATACTCCCATATTCCGGGAAAGGCAGGATATTGAAACCACTGTAGTATGTCGGGATCAGGGTTTGGGGCTTCGTTGGAATTGGTCATGGATGGAAAAGAACTGACATTACTACATAGACCAGTACATTTGGAACTTGAAGTAGAGGGCCTGATTGGGAAAACGCGGTTTAGGGTTTAGGGAAGTGGTTACAAGGACTTACAAAGATTTTGGGAAGACCAAAAGAACCCCAAACCTTAAACCCTAATTACAGCAGCGATCCATTCCCTCACTACCGATTATGCATGGGTAATGGACCTTTCTAAGTGAAGGTCACCGCTTAGGGAATCTTTTGGCTTTTGTTTAGGGTTTAGGGTTTATAGGGTTCAGGGCTAAGGTCACGAACAATGTGATTAGTTGAATCCCTGGACAGCTCGCACAAGACCCCAAAGACCTAAACACAATCATTTCCGCAAGAATCCAAGTCCCAACCATGGCCCCTTCAAGACCCTGAAGCCTAAGGTATGACAAGTACCAGCTGGCTCCGAATACCCGCCTCCGCACCCGCCTGACGCGGGCGGAGTGGGTGCAATCTCAGCAGCGGTGGCATGTCACGCTGGAGTCTGGTGAGGCGCCCCCCCATGCAATTCATGAAGAGGATGCGTGCTATTTAGACTAACTATGCAGCGCCCAGCCCATGACGTTGAATGTTCCTCTCCCTTCTACTATATGGTCGGTAGGTTTTCAAGAATACCTTAGGGCAAAGAATTCGTTTGAAACCCCTGCATGAAGGAGGATCCTTGGAAAGAAAAGGGACAGGGGCGGCTTGATATGAGGGAACGAGATGTTCTTGATTCTCCCACAAACCTTGCGAAAGCATTTCCTGAAACAGGACCATACTGTATCCCCTCAAGTAGAACCTGTAGCCCCAAGTATCCACAGCTTGGTAGTATTTACCCCCTTTACCACTGTAGTAGGGACAAGCCAGAAAGCTGTGGGTAATTGGGGCTACAGGTGTATTCTGCCCCCGAAAACTGGGGCCAAAGGAAGGACCCAGAGAGTTCAGAACGCGTTTGGGTTTCATACTGTTCAGGGATTAAGTAGATAGAACATGCGGTATATGGGGACCTCTTATGGTTGTGGTGAACCCCATAGTTTGTGTATTTAAGGGCGGCTATAGTCCCTCAGGCGGATCCTCTAGAACTTCTCTGGTAATCACATTTTTCCTTGATGACCCAGGGGGTAGCCCGACGTTAAGCAATTCACATAATGGAAGGCAATTCACCATTCCAAACCCTATACCAGGAAACCTAGACGCCAAACCTCCCTGCAACCGTGTTGCTGGCTGACAGGAGCTGCAGCCGCGCTTCCTCTTTAACTGCGCTGGTGCACTGCACTACCCACAGATCCCGGATGTACCCGGCAGGGACAGGTGCCTGAGGGTGATAATTAGGGTCTAGGGTTTAAGTTAAGCAGGGTTTAGAAATGAGGTTTAAGGTTTTGCAGGGTTCCTGGGTTAGTCTGTTGAATCTTGTAGGAGTCTGCAATGTGATTCCAATTTTTGGAAAGTCCAGAGTCTAGATCCTGAAGCCCGCATCACCGTCAAAGAAGCATTTCCGATGATGGTTGCTAGCATGGGTGTATTCAGAAACTCCGCCCCTGGACCTCCTGGCAGAGCGGCACCTAGTCATTTCTCAATCACCAAAGCGCCTCACTAGGATCTCTGAGAGTAGCCCTGGCCGATTACGCGCATCTTGCATCGCTGTAAGTGCTGCACTTCATGAGAAACTCCGTATGCAAGATTTATCAAAATCTTGCTCCTAAGGAACCCCCAAGATCCATGGAGATTGCAGTGGCCATCTAGTTCCGCACTGAGGATCTTAACTTGAATCTTTTAATCCTGAGTAGCACGTTGCAGGTTCCATGGCAAGATGTTCCATTCCGCCGAGTGGGACCACTCAGTTGACTTTTCTGGCAAAAGCGTGGTGGCGTTTGTGCAAAAGGGGGGGTGAGGGGAGTGCCACTCAAATCCAAAAGGGCCTGGCCCTCTTCTCCCTTTAGGCCCAAACTCCAAACTTAAGCCCTACCTGAACCCCAAAAGTATGTAGAATAATGTCCTTTATTGCTATCTTCATGGGTTATGGGCTATTGTTTTACATGTTTTTGGGGTGTGGGTACATCAAACTAAGCCCTGCGCCCCTTGCTACTGCTAGTTATGATGATTGCTGTTATCACAAGTATGATTACAATTTCGATGTATAAATATTGCAATTAGCTTAAATACTCAAAATACTGCTGTTGCTATCGCTATTACTATTGGTAATTGCGACTATAGGGACCCTTAGCAGGTGGTGGTGGGCAGCGGCGCAAGCGCGGTGCAATTCGTGCCGATCGTGGCTGAGCAAGCCCAAAGACTGGTGGGGGCCTCTGAAAGCATGACCTTTAGTGATTAGGATTTACGCCTTGGGGTTTACATGTTAAACTGTAGAGTATAGGGTTTTTGGTTTGGGGTTGGTTTGGGGCCTGATTTCAGAGTTTGGAGTTATCGCGTTTAGTTGGTTAAGAAACGGACGCCCCGTACCAAGATCGGGGAGCTTCTCAGTATGAACTATAGTCTAAGCTCCCTAAAGGGGTTATATAGGGGATTATATTGGGTTGAGGGTTTAGGGTCTAAACTACTTGAAGGGGTTTGTATAGGTGATTTTTTTAGGGGAGTATTCTGGGGTTATTGGGGGGGATGTTAGGAGTGTAGACTCGTGTAGACTATGGCTCACACATCCGGTACATGGTCTTTACAAGGTTTGCGAGCAACCCATGTCGTCACTCCATATGTTGAGCGTCCTCAAAGGTACCCTCATTTGGACAACCTACTAACCTGACCAAACCTTAACTTGATTCCTCTAATGCTTGTACCCTACACCCTACGCGCCTAAATTCGAAAACTATACCTTGGAGCATGACCTGAACCCAAAGTAGGTAAAACAATGACCCACAGCCCACTAAACCAGCCAAAGGAGCTATCATTAGTGGGCAGGGCCGGGCTAGGTAAACCCTAAACCCAATACATCCTAATCTATCCATCTATATATATATATATATATTACCCATAATCCGTACAGAACTGCTATAATTATCCCTTTTGAAGGGACCTACATGTGACAGGTTCTGCTGCAGCGCACCCCGAACTGGGTCATCGGAAGGCAAGAAACACTCCTACCCGAAAGGCGAAGGGGTTGCAAACGCTAGGGTCTACTTTAGGGATGTAGGGTTTAGGGTTCAGGGGCTAGGCTTCAGAGATTTTGTGTTTAGGGTTTAGGGTTTGGGGTGTGTTGGCTTAAGAGGGGTTGGTGGGCCCCTTGTTGAGGGGTGTATAATTAGGTATACACGATAGGGATCCACGTACTTGAAGCCGTTCGTATTGGAATCCGCAGCCAGGTTTTATTCTGAGTCCCTCAAGTGGACCTACCGAAACATCCCGCTGGCCCGCGCAGCATACCGCGCAAGCCTCTACTGGAAGCTGGAGGCCTCCATGATATTGTACCTGAGCTTTTGTAGAACAAACGTTTATAATTTTATGTATGCATGGGCTCAATATCAATGAAAAAGGATCTCTTTTCATTGTATTTCAACAAGAACCCAGGTACGGCGTCTTCGACAAAAGCGACGACTTCCGAAGCAAAGCAGTGCGATACCACTTCCGCAGCCTGCCTTGGGGTATATGATTTACAGATAGATAGCTACACATATATATATACACATATATATACACATACATATATATATACATATACATACATAAACATATATATATATATATAGATAGATTTTTTTTTCTCGGGGTGGGGAGGGGGGAGGCGAGGAGGGCGGGGCGTTGCTTGCTGGTTGTTTGGGGAAGGGAGGGATGGATCCCCATTGTAGCCACCATATGAGCTGTAGTCTAAACTCCTTAAGGGGGGGTTATGTAAGGGAATATGTTGGGGAGTAGTATTGGGGTTATTACGGGGGCTACTAGGAGTTCAGGCTACAGCTCATGTAATAATCACCATGACATGGAAGTGTCCATTGTCTTTTCCCATTCTCTCAGCAAGTTTTGGGATGACACTTCCATAGCGCTTTCTTACATATGGCTTTTGTTTTGCTGTCTTGCAAGTCTCAGGAAATTTCAGGTGAGTAGTTTCCTCTATATATATATATATGCTTTACACTGCCCCTATTTACTTCGTAGGTGCTGCAGAAGCCTAATGTAAGCCTTGTGCAAGGGTACCTCCTGGTAAACAGTGCAAACCCCATAGCTGAAAATATGGGCCCTAAATGCGAAGAGTAGGAAGCTGACCCTAAACCCTGAAGTAAAGCTTTCTAATCAGCTTTAAACCATCAGTCCTAAAACCCCCAAACCCTGGGACCGATCTTCCTATACCCTGAGCCCAAAGTCTAAGCGCCTGACCTCAAGGTAGTTTCATGGCGCAGCAGCTGAAAGATAGAAAGGAGCTGCTTGGGCTGATGCTGGTCTAGGGCTTGGGGTTTCGAATTGAAGGGGCTTGAACAACTACAGAGTAACTCCGCTCCCTTTTGGGTGGTCCCTAACCCAAGAAAGGCTACGGCTCAGATTTGTGCTTCTTGGCTTACGGAGGGTTTATAGATTTGGGTTTACCGTTGAAGGTTTAGGAAGTTTAGGGCAATACAGCTTCAGGCTGAGTTTTTGGCTTTGGAATTTAGGGTTTGGGGGTTCAAACTACACTCTTCTTGCTTCTTGCTTTGGTGTTTACATTGTGGGTTCTTAAGGATTTTGGGGAAGTGTATGTACTGTGCCTTGTTCAGGGGGTGAAAGGTTTGCGGCTTCAGTCTTTATTGGTCGCTCTCGCCCAGGTCTAGGTAGAGGAAGAAGGCAAAAAGGCTTAAGCCCAATCCCCCCAGGTAGGGTTTAGGGGCTAGGGTTTAGGAACTTTGTGCGCTAAACGCCAAACCCTAAACCCAAACCCTAAAATCTTGATCCCCCAAACGCGAACTCTCCACAGTCTAAATGTCTAGAATCCCCCTGAATAACTCCCATAATGGTCCCCTATATAGTCCCCTATACTAAGCCCTAAACCCTTAGCCCTAAGCCCCAAACCCTAAACCCAAACCCTAAGCCCTAAACCCAAACCCCAAGCCCTAAACCCTAAGCCCTAAGCCCTGAACGCCTAGGTTGAGGAAGAAAGTCATCCCTTCCTACCCCGTGGGTTGCAAGCGAATCTGCAAGCCGGATGCCTACAGCCATGTCGAGATTTCAAACTTATATTCCCCCGATTCCTTCAGTGTTTAGGGTCTAGGGTTTAGGGTTTCTTATTGGGGTTAGATGGGGATAATGGCAAAGAAAATGGAAATAATTAGGAGGGTTTATATAGGATTGGGGGGCTTAGGGCCCCTGAAGTAGATGGAATATTACGGGGTTTAGGGTGAGGGTTATTATAATATGCTCAAAGCCCTACTCTATCTACTTAAGAGGGACTATAACCACCGATTTCTTCAAAGGCATTACCTCAACTCCAAGAGTATGCAGAACAACATCCGGATTGGCTGGTTTAATGGCTTTTGGCTCATGGTTTTACTCACTTTTGGGCTCCAGGTAAGGGCTCTTTGGGTAGTTGTTCAGAGTAATTATGCAGGAATTGATTGGGGAAGTCTAGGGATCGGGATTTAGGGCGGCTACCCTCCCTTTAATTAACCTGGAACTTCCCGTAGGCCCAGGAGTGTTTAGAGGGCCCCTTGTGGGCTTCCATGCTATACAACTTGGGATTGCGGCATGGTGGCAGTATTAAGTGCTGATAATGCTGTCAGCCGGGCTGAGGGCCTGGGATTCGGGTTCAGACGGTTTAGGCTTTAGAGTCTAGGAGAGGTGAAGGTTTTGTCAGGCATGTGGCAAAGCACATGCGGAATATGTGAGTGAGGGCTCCCGACAGAGCATGAAGCTGCTGTCCATATAAGGGCTACCAAGGGACCATTAAGGGTGGACATAGGCCCCTTTGGTCGTTTAGTATAACTAAACCCTAAGCGCTATACCCTAAACCCTATAAGCCCTACACCCTGTACCCTAAGCCCTATACTCCCAGAGATGAAACTTTAGCTAAGGGAGCCCAAAGCAAACTGTGCTGCACCAGCTCGTTTTAGGGTTTGGAGTTTAAATTTAGGTTTGGGGCTTAGGGTCCAGGGACCTTAACTTAAGTTTAGACCTGTAATCGTAAATATCCCCACATGTGCAACAGCGTATAAGTATACATATGTATGCGTAGAGACATTTAAGCACCAGTAAGATTAGGTGATCTGAGGTATGTGGCTGTTCGTCAGGAAGACGTGCGACAGCTGTGTCATAAGGGTGTAGGATTGAGGTTTTAGGGTTTAGGGTTCAGGATTCAGGGCTTGCGGTTTAGGATGTAGCCTTTAGGCTTCAGGGTAACGGGTTTAGGCTCACAGGCAGTGACGACAAATATCTGATAGCTGCAAGCCCCAGACGTACCCTTAGCCCTGTTTCCGACATTTTGGAACCCCAGGCCTGATCTCTTCTGTACACATACTTTGTGTATAATAATAAGCCTTCTATCACCCAAACATTTGGGAGTTTCGCAGAATGTTCCCTCATATGCCTTTACTCTCAGTCCCCACATGTCCCTAGGGTGCCGAGGGACACCCCACTTTGTCAAATTTCCGATAGTAGTTTGGTTGTAGGCATGTCTAGGGCAGGAAATGTCAACCAAGTCGCCCGTGGATCGTGTAGTTGAGGTCAGACGACTACTTGCAGAGCCTCACCCGACCTAACGTGGAGGCAGCAATTTTTGAACATGGTTCTCCTCAACCAAATTTTCTGGCAATGGGAAATCACGATGATTTGTGGGTACGTAGGAGTCTCTGATTTTCAGCTGCAGTCAGCGGAGATTCTGTAGGGCCGCTGTACCTCACCCCCCGAAAATATTTATGTTGTGTTCTGGTCTGATGTCAGCGGGGTGGGGTAGCAAGCAAGGGCGTCCATAAGCACAAGGTATCTCTACCCCTAAGCGCTCAGCTCAACTACCTGTATCCCAATAACCTACAGCTTTTTTGGTCAGAAATACCCCCTCATCAGAGTAATCATAGAGCCTGCACCCGTGGCGACGCCGCGCTTCTAAGTATCGATTGAGGACCGGATTCCATAATCCATGTTGCGGCAGGTAATATGGCTTACATGTAAACCGTCCTTGTAGACCTTATAACCTATGTGAGTTTTTGTCATCCGTATACAATCCCCGAAGAATCCTCATATAATCCCTATATTGTCCCTATAATCCCCATATAATGCCCATATAATCCCCAAATAATCCCCATCTAACCCTATTCGATTACATGTAAACCGTCTTTGTAAGCAGGTGGTGGTGGCCGGGCTCTCGGAGGTGAAGGAGGACGGAGCCTTGGATCTTCGCATTAACCTCTTAACCCGAGGGTTTAAGGTGTAGGGCTAGGAGATGAGGAAGGTGAGGATGTGTAGGGGCGAGGGGGTATCATAACAGGGGTCCCTAAACCTTAAACCCTAAACCCTAAACCTTAAACCCTAAACCCTAAACCTTAAACCCTAAACCCTAAACCTTAAACCCTGAACCCTAAACCCTAAACCCTAAACCTTATCCGGATAAGGAGCTGGAAGATGATAATTCTCGCGAGCTTTTGAGGAAACACGGTTCGAATAGCTTGAAAATCCCTATGTAGCCTCATGTTCCATCATTGTTTTCCGTTTTCTTTGCCACTTGATTCTTCAGTATTGGCGTAACATCCCCAAACCCTGAAGCCTAAACCTTAAAGACTTAGGTCCGAAGGAAAAAAAACTTTAGTGCTTAGGGTCGAACCTTATTCCTATCTGTGCTATATATAACTCAGACTTTCATGTTCATAAAGGCCACGGCCCAACATTCCATCTTGAGACCTGGCTAGTTGGGGTGCAGACTTGGCCAGCCCTTGTCATCAGGATCCCCCAACAGATAGTTTATAGGGTTTAGGAACACTGGCTCTGTGGCAAACTCCTCAATGACAGGGACATATAGAGACGTAAAGTTGCGATTCATTGAGGCCCCGCGACATTCTGTTTTCACTCTGAGGCCCTAAGCTCTGAACCCTGAATCTCAAAACCCCTCAAACACTCAACCTTGGACCCTAAAACCCTAAACCCAAACCCAAACCCTAAACCCCAAATCCTGCACCCCAAAATCCTTTGTCGATGAGAAGCCCAGGAGTTCTCGATACCAACGGCGCGAAGCACCAAGCTGACATTATCCTGTTTGGCACAGGCTTTCAGGCCCCGGGGCTTTGGGGTATGGGGTTCAGGATATATAGGGCTTTAGGGGATACGGTATGGGGTTCCGTGTTTAGGATGTAGGGACTCTATGATTTTGTTTTCAGAAGTTCTATCAAGTCCTGGAACCCTTCCTCCCGCGGTCCCGAGCGGATTCCGGTGGCCTACCTACCCCTACCTACCTACCTACCTGCATGCATGCATGCATGCATGCTGTGTATGTGTACATATATATATATATGGTTGCGGTTTAGGGCTTAGAGGTTCAGGGTTTAAGGTTTAGGGTATATAGACATGGTTAGTTAGGAAGGGGGAATGCTTAATGGCAGATTATCTAGGCTATATGATATGGTGTGGATCCATTTCCGCATTCTATGCCTGAGTATGTGACTGAGATCCAGGTTCTTCTACACTCGCCCAAGCCTTACACCCTACGCTACATTAATAATAGTAGGAACAATAGGAGGGAAGATTCTACATATTAGTAATAAAAATAATAACAATAATAATAGGAATAGTAACAGTAGTGATAAGAATAGTAATAATATTAATAGTAGGTAAAGGAATAAGAGTAGTAGTAATAATAGTACGAGAAGGAATAAACATAGTAGTAATAATACTAGTAGGTAATATTGGGGTTATACATGGTTATAGAGACACTGAGACCCACAGGTTGGGTCTATCGGGAAGGACGTGGAGATCGTAGGCACCGATGGGTTCGCGTGGAGCGGCACTTTGGCTCACAGCTTTGTGAGCTTTTGTTTAGGGTTGGGATCTAAAGGGGTTTCGAGATTATGGTCACACGGTTTGGGTGTTAGGGGTTTAGGGGTAAGGATGGGTGTTTGGAGGGGGTTCAGGGATCATAGTTTAGAGGGGGCTCTGGTTTCTGACCCGTGTGCATTCCCAGCATACCTTCATGCAGGGAAAGCTGGTGACATATACCTGTCTCAGCATTGTACAGCCCAGACCCTGAAGCCACCCAGGCGCTGATGCCCAAGTTCTAAGCTAAACGCGGAGTCGAGAGCCTAGAGCTCAAACACCAACCCATTAACCTTAACTGCAAACGAGATTAAGGGTAGAGTCTATTTTTTAAGGGCATAGCTCTAGCTAGGCCCCGCCAGTATCGCTGAGAGCCCAACAAATCCGTAAGGAGTACCTTTATAGACCCTGTGTCAGGGGGTAGTCGGGCCCTAAACCCTAAACCGCAGTATGGACACCAACCTAAACCCGTTTAAGCCCTAAACCCTGAACCGCAGTATGGACCCCACCTAAACTCTCAACCCTGGACCCTAAACCCTGGACCCTACTATAAACTCTATACCCTACACCCCCAGTCCAAGTGCCAAGGCAACTCGCCTTGGCGCACCCGTGTCGAGGCAGCTCTGATCTGGTCAGCAGATCTGGTTTGGGGCTGTAGAGGGGGTTTTGGGGTTTAGGGTTTAGTCTCCATAGGAAATACTTTAAAAGGAAACTACAGGAATTATAAGGATTTAGTAGAGGGAATATATAAACCCTGCCCTAGCCCTTCCTGTAGTCTCCTTAGGATTTTTCAATTTTCGGTATAGTATAATCCTCAGGAAGTATTACAAATTTTATTTGTGTTATAGGTCCAAGGAGATGACAAGGGGCTCTGAACCCTGAACCCTAAGTCCTCCGGATTTATGGCCAGGATTTAGGTTTGTGTTGTAAGACACCCAGCTCCGGAAGCTCTAAAACGCATCTATGCAAGTGGTTCGTTTGGCCTTAACAAAGAATTTTAAGCAGCAATTCCTTGGCAAGCAAAAAAGGTCAAATGGGCAACGCTGCCCGGATCTGTATTTCTAAAACGACACATGAAGAAACGTGAGTTGTATGGGTCTACGGTGTGTTGAAGCTCTCTTGACATGGGCATATCCCTCAATCAAATACATGACCCAGACGTAAACTAATATAACTGATATGGATAGCCATTGAAAGGACCCCCTTCTCAGGTTTCATGTTTGTTTTGTGAGAGGGCGTGTGGAACTCAAATGAAGTCCAACCTCCACAGCGTAAAGCCGCACTCCCCAAATCCCGAACCCTAAACCCGCCACACCCCACGCCGCCTCATCCTGGGTCAGGCCTACTTGGGTACCAGTATGCGGGAGTTCCCAAACTCCTTCACGATCCCCCGCACGCACTGAAGTAGGTTTAGGGCTTTTGGTTCAGGGTTTAGGGGTAGTTTTTTTTGTAATCACACATCCAGACCAAATTACGAGGACCATATTGCTGCAGGTTCCTCATTTTACTTTCGCAGTCCTACTAATTATTGTGTCTAGGAGCCTCTACAGTACCTATGATGAGGTTGAGAATCTGTTGGGTTGTCTTGGGGGGACCCCAGCTTTAGACTCCCAAGATGGTTGTAGTGTTCACTGCGTTTAAGGTGTATACAGGAGTGTTTTTTGGTCACGGAGGGTTTTATCCGTAGGCAACAGGCAACATGCTCAAGGACATGCCCAAACACAAGAGGCCAGAGCCGCTGAAGCCTACTTGGAGGGTCAGTTGTATAATATTGAGGTTATATTGGGATAATGGAAAAGAAAATGGAAACTACTATAGTATATAGGGTCATATAGGGTTATATAGGGTTCTTATACCAACTAGTACTTATAACGCAATTAGTTGGAAGCATATTTGCGGACCTAGTGGGTTTGCAGTTGGGTAACCCCTCAACCACGTCCTAAACCCCCTCAACTTGTCAACCCTGGACCCTAGACTCATCCCTCAACCCTAAACCCCTAAACCCCAATCCCTAATCCCTAAACCCTAATCTCTAAACCCTAATCCCTAATCCCTAAACCCTAATCCCTAAACCCTACTCCCTAAACCCTAAACCCTAAAGGCTCCATCCTAAGCCATCCCTGGCCTCTACGAGAAATCCGAGCCCCAGCCCGAAGCACTGCTTCCAAATTCAGGGTAGCTATAGGAGCTATAGTCTAAACTCCTTATAGGGGGGCTATATAGGGCCTAATATAGGGGATTCTATAGGGGACTGCTATAGGGGTTATTAAGGGGGATACTAGGAGTTTAGACTATAGCTCATATGAGCTATAGTCTGAACTCCTTAAAGGGGTGGTCATTTACCGGGACCCTTAGAAGGGGTACTGGGGAGACATAGGGCTTAGGGTTCAGGATTACAGTAAGCATTTAGGGTCGCCATAACCCAGTTGTAATTGCACTTGTGTCCCAAATATGAGGCCCGAAGTTTTTCAGTCTGGATATATCTGGTTTAAAAATCATTGTACCCTGTTGTACCCTTGAACCTCCGAGTAGACTCTAAGCCTAAACCTTGAGGCCTCAAATCCCCAGCCGCCGAGATGAGCCAAGGATTTTGGGCCCGAACTCAGGCCTGGGACATAACTCCGTGCTGCTCTTCGCCTGCACCTAGAGTAACCTACTTGGAGGGTCAGGGGACTTAGTTAGTGGGTTAATCATGGGGGTAACTAGGGTTACTTTATGGGTTATAGGGGTTATTAACCTACTTACTAAGTCTCCCTGACCCTCCAAGTAATGAGACGTTCGTACCTATGTACCTAATGTTGTTGTATTCTTCCGCTTGTCAAGGTCTAGGTTACTCTAGGCATGGCGTAGCGTTAGGATTTAGGTTTTAGAACCTAGGGGGACAACCAAAGTATGTGGAATAATTCTGTTGGGGCTAGTCTCAGGGTTGTGGGCAACTATTTTACCTACTTCTGGGTAGAGGTTCATGGCCAGATGGCCAGATGGCTAGATGGTTGTGGGTTGAGAAGGAAGAAAGGAGACTCAACTGCTAAAGCAAGTGGAACATGAAATCGATTGGTTATACTTAGGTTTCAGGCTTGGTTGGGGTTGATAAGATTTTCGGGTTGGGGCTTAGGGTTTGGGACCCCTGAACCCTAAACCCTAAACCCGAATCCTAGCCTATGCTCTGGCAATGGCCTGCTGATTGCCCTTGGAGGCTTTTGCTCGCCAGAGCTGCCGGCACTTACAGCAGGTTTGGCGCGACATTTAAATTCTCACCTACACTCCTGGAAGCTAACATGGAAACCCTAAAGGGCCCTACAAAGACTACAGTCCCTCTAAAAAGGGGTTATATGGGTTTCCATGTTATTTTTGGGGAGTGTACCCCAAGTAGCATGCTAAATGCTCAAACCGCCATCAAACATATCTGGGCTTGGAAAAAGGTCGTAGACCAGAAAGCTGCTTCATTGGCTGCGCATGGCTTCTCCCCAGACTTCAAAGGCCGTGTCCATTTCTTATCCTTCCCCCTACAACCTGAATCCTAATCCATAATTCCTAAACCCTAAACCCAAATCCCCAAACCTTAAACCCTAAACCCTGAACCCTAAACCCTACTTCCCCAAATCTTAAACCCTAAGCCTCCGGCTAGGCTCATGGCAGAGGCCCAGGCCGACTATGCCGTGCGCGTGGTGAAGGAAGCCTTGGACCTGGGACCCTTGGAAAGACAGGGAAGGTTCATTGTACAATATTTAGGGTTTAGGGTTAGGGGTTAGGGGTTTAGGGTTTAGGGTTCAGGGTTTAGGGTTTAGGGTTTACGGTTTAGGGTCTAAACTCCTTCAAGGGGGTCCTTCAAGGGGGTGCTATATTTAGGGTGTTTTCGTGGATTATATAGGGTTTAGGGTTT